TAATTACTGTAATATTATCGTCCGTAACCGCGCTAATGCGACTGCGCAATCAAAAACAGTAATATTATACTAAATAATTTTATTTTTGAAAATGACGATAAATGTAATATTGTGATATTGGGGGATTTTAATTTACCGTTCCTGTATGAAACCAGCTGTGATAAAAACCTACTTTTAAGAGAATATTGGTGTTTGTACAATTTCCAACAACATAATATTATAAAAAATTCTATTGATAGACTATTAGATAGTAATTTCAGATTTGGAGGACATAGTGATAGAAAGGTCTAAACTACCAATGGTGCCTGAAGATCCATATCACCCGGCATTATGCCTTACCTTTTCAATGGTGAGGGATGATGACAGAGTCAATAAATCTACAATGGCTTACAGTTACGACTATTCAAGGGGAAACTACACCTTACTTTATCATCTCTTAATCAACTGCGACTGGGCAAGTGTTCTGAGTTGCACAGATATTGATTCTTGTGTTCATGCATTCTATGATCTGCTTTATCATTGTTTTGATCAATCAATACCTAAATTTAAAAACAAGAATATTAGTAATGCTCCAAAATTCCCCAGATGGTTCTCCATTGAGTTGGTTCGTAATGTGAGACATAAAAACAAATTACACTCTCTGATAAAAAAAAGGTCAGGCAAGTATTGATCAAAGGGAAGAATATGCCAATTTGAGGCTATTTATTAAAGATCAGACTAAGTTAGAATATAAAAATCACATTAAATCTTTAGAAATAAATTTAAAAAATGATCCTTCAACCTTTTGGTCATATATTAAAAGTAAGTTTCAAAGTAGTGGTATACCAACTACCATGAAATTAGATGGACAAACCTTTATCGAATCGCAGGAAATTTCCGACGTTTTTGCCAAATACTTTTCCTCAGTCTATGATGCTGGACATAACTGTTATGTTGGGGAATCTGGCTATGATTGGGGTAACTTTAAATTTTCCTTAATAACCAAAGAAATTGTGATAGATAGTATTAATTGCTTAAAACCCAAAAAATCAACGGGGCCAGATGGTATACCGGCATGCATCTTTAAGGGATGTAAGGAGAGCTTGGCTGATCCACTGATTCATATTTTTAATCTTGCGCTAAAGAGTTGCTATTTTCCTGCATCCTTCAAGGAATGTTTAGTGTCGCCAGTTTTTAAGAGTGGTGAGAAAAATTATGTAAAAAATTACCGTCCCATTTGTCTCTTGAACGTTCTCTCAAAGATTTTTGAAACAATTATATATAATAATATTTTTGAACATGTTAGTGCCAGTTTGTCGGTATATCAACATGGTTTCATGCTACTGTGAGTAATCTGCTGGTGTTCTCGCAGGATGTCTCTCAGGCTATCAGTGATAAAAAGCAATTGGATGTAATTTATACAGACTGTACCAAAGCTTTCGATAAGGTGAATCATGAGATTTTGTTGAAAAAACTGGTCAACTTTAATTTCTCAGAACAAGCTTATAACTTTATTAAGTCCTATCTTCTTGACAGATCACAAGTCATAAAAGTGGCAGGATCCAAATCACTTAGTGTTCCAGTGCCATCTGGTGTTCCACAGGGTAGCAAATTGGGCCCCTTGTTGTTTTTAATATTTGTAAATGATCTCCCAAATGTTCTTTGTAGCTCTAAAGGATTGCTTTACGCTGATGATTTCAAACTTTATAAAACCATATCTAGTCAAGAGGACTGTGTCTCACTTCAAAATGATCTTGATTCTGTAGTCAAATGGTTTGATGCCAATAAAATGAAAATAAATATTGTTAAATGCAATAGTATGTCTTTCACCAGAAAATTGAATTATGTCATTCAGGATTATTCAATTGAAAATGTTCCGATTAACAAGGCTGACGCGGTGCTTGATCTAGGTGTCATATTTCAGAAAAATCTTAAATTTAATTCACACTTTGATAATATAGTCAGTAAGGCATACCAAGTCTTGGGCTTTATAATTAGAAACAGTAAAAATTTTGAAATACCAACTGTAATTAAATTATACAATTCACTGGTTCGCCCAAAACTTGAGTATGCTAGCTCAGTGTGGTTTCCAATTGCAACAACAAATCAAGATCAAATTGAAAAGGTCCAAAAGCGTTTTCTAAGATACTTTATGTTAGAAGGAACAATGAATACCCTTTTAGAATCTCCTACCAGTCGATGTTAAATGGCTTTAATTTTCAAACTTTATCATCTAGGCGCAGAGTACAAGCTATAATCTTAATTTATAATATTGTAAACCATAAGAAATATCAACACTGTGATCTTATCAGGCATATCAGTTTTAATGTTCCTAAAATTGGTCTAAGAATTATCAATAGAGGATTATTCTGGGTAGACCCCAATGACAGTTTGTCCCCTTTATCTAATATGCAAATAATAGTAAATGAATTCCTGAACCTCCATAACAGAATAGATATGTTCCACAGCAGTCTGAGACAGATAATTGCCTTGATAACATCATAGACTGTCCTCATATTTTTAAGTTTTAAGTAGGTTTTTTTGTGTATTTTTTTAATGTGTGTCTTTTTTACTTTGCATGTAATTACTGTAGGTGTTTGTAAAGTTATTCAATAAATGAAAATGAAATGAAATGAAACTTAATAACTTGTTGGAACGTTTTTTGAACTATTAGTACTCACAACACAAGATGAAAATACCAAAAACAACATAACTTGCATACTTGCAGGTGAATCATCTTCCACCACAATAAGGAATTCTTCTAAACCTAATATACAACAAAAATCAGATTTATTAACTCTGAGAATAAATAAAATAAAATTACTTTACTTCTATAGCAGTAATTTTCAAATAAATAATTTTAATAAACAAAAAACTGAGGTTCTAGGTTATGTATTATTATTTATGTTTGTTGTTATTCAACCACTGACCCGTTTTCCGTAACTCCGTAACTCCGGTTGGAACAACGAACTGTCAATTATCGCGAATTCTAAATTAGTAATTTTAACTGGTTGGAACAGCATTTCACAATTGCGCATGTGTGCCAGTAATATTACTGGAAATTACTGCCGGATGGAACAAACCAATAATACATAGTTAAGGATTATCAGCTGAAAACAGTACTAAGTTTGGCAAGTAGCAAAATCAAGGTTACAAACTGAAAGAGGATATCTGGTGAAAATACGTTTCAACCTTAGAGCAGGTAAAGGTAGAGGAGTAGTAACCTGGATTTGGAAAATGAAGCCGTTTTTTTCCAGGTATTTTGGCCCACAAAAAATGGCGGTTATGGCGATTCAATGCTCTACCTGTATTTTAGTGCCAAACACCTGCCAAAAACTTAGCTTCACTTTAGTTTCATAAGCAGAATGGCGCGTTCCTACTCCTTATGTCCGTAGGACAGCGCTTTACCTGCTCTAAGGTTTCAACAGTTAAACTACGTCATGAAGAGTCCCGTAGGTACAACCTGCTGTTCCAAGACATTTTTAAATAAAATTTATGTACAAGCGTTTAGTTATGACGTTTTCACATAACCATTTTCTAGTATTTGAGTTATATCATGAGACTCCATAACAGAACAGTGGTGTTATGGACTAGGTTCATAACACAACTATTTTTGATGATTTGACAAATGTCAAAGTTAAACCTGTAAAGGTAAAATGAAGGTAGACAACGACTAATAAAAGAAAATGATTGAAAAAACATTCTTATTTTTCGATTTGTAGATAAAACGTTGTACATCACACGTGCGTTTAAACATGACTACAAAACTTGTGTGATTAGAACGACTCGGTCTAGGACCTCGTCGTTTCACACTCGTTATTGTAATCATGTTCATAAACGCACTTGTAATGTAAATAACTATTACGACCAAGTAGCTTCAAACGCTACAACATTTTCGTAGCTATAATAATAATATTACCTACCAGCCTGTAGATCACTTTCGAAAACATGATTTTGCGATAGCTGCCGCTGACTGGATCTGAGGTCAGGGTCCTTATTCTTGAAACAAGGGAGCAGCGTTCCCGGGAAAACGAGTGTTCCGTCTTTGTTACTTATATCATCATTTACATATCATTGAGAAAGACAGAACACTCGTTCTCTTGAAAACACTGCTCACCTATTTCAAGAATAAGGACCCTGATGAGAAGCCCCTTCGCGAAATTCTGGTATCAATAGATGGCGCTAAGTTATGGCTTAATAGCAATATGGCTGCCGAACTCAGTGAACAACAATGTCAGATTTTCGAAATTAGTTGGTGTTAAATTGTGTTTTGTGGCGTTTTTGTGATTTATATGACAGAAACTATACATATATAAAAACAATAAAATTCTGTAGAAAATTGAAAACTTCCAAAAACAATGCTCAAGCTAAATGCAAATTTGCTTTGTTTTTCTCTTGAGTACCAAAGTTGATCATAGATGATATTCCCTACTTCAAGAGCTTTCTTCAGTGACTCGATAAACCTTTTTACCCACTGACAATGGAAGTAAGCCGCCATCATATTGCTCATGCTCATAAGTAAATATGAAAATAGAAGTGAGCCATGACCTGCCGCCATTTTGCTGCTCCAAATTCCATATGAATGTATAGGAGTTGATAAAACCATTCAAAAATAGGACGGCAATTGACGCTACTAGCGAATCAAAATATGACGTCAATCTTGAATGGTCAATGCACGCATTTTAGTTAGGTTTTAAAGTTGGATTTGGAATAAGGTAAGAAGATGACAATGTGATAAAAAATGGCAACAGGACGATTTTTACTACCAAACATATTGTTGATAATGTAAAATCAACAAATCAATTTTAACACGCGAATCTAGCCAGAGCGTGAATTCTTACAAACCAAGCCGCACTATTTCTAAAATCATCATAAAATTACTTCTGCAAGTTTCTGTCAGAGAACAGTTTTAGAAAAACATCTTCCAGTTTAAACCGTTAAATAAGCAGGTATAATATCTTTATATCAAGTCATTTAAATCAACTTGCCTTGAAAGTGATTTTAAAATTAAAATTCCAAACCGCTTTAGTGTATTCAGAATCAGTCAAACTGAACACGGCCTCAACATTTCTGTCGGCGTTCGTAGTCGGCCCCTCTTCCAGTGTCCAGGGCACGTATCTGGCAATTCCGTGTTTTGGACCGTTCACTCTCCGGCCGTGATACGGAAAAGTGTATTTTATGCCTCCCCTATAACAATTTTCTGCCATTGATTGTTTTGTTCAAAAGTGAGTTTGTTTACCTGATTGGTGAGAAATGGTTGAACGTGGTTCTTTCTTTGAAATAAAGCATTTCCTTGTTGTTGACGCGGTACGAAGAAATTGTACCGCCGTGTAGATGTACCGTGCAAGTTGTGTAATGTCCTCGGTCCATAAATACAACTGAATTTTCGACCTTTGACATGGTTTTGACAGAAATTTTGTGGACAGAAATAAATTATTGGTCCTGAAAAAATCGAAAATTAGAAATCTAAAAATTCAAATAAATCCAAAAACTGAGAGGCAGCACATTCAGAACAAAAATAAATCTAAAATCCACACTCACATGTACGAGAACTATACCAAAAAAGAATGAAACCGCTCATTCGAGAAAAAACTCCAAGGAAGAAAAACAAAAAATGACATTCTCAGAAACGCATTTAGAAAATCTGTCAATTTTAAATATTAACAGGTTCGCCGGGTGACAGCGATCAACTCTATATTTGACCGGCTTGAATCTTAAAACGAAGCTCTTCTGTACTGTTCCATTAGACTGTTTTGTGAAAGTGGACACATGGCTATTGGTCGTTCTCCAATAAAAAAAAGGCACCTTTCTCAATTCTTTAACTTTTTCAAGTTTGCTTTTTACATCATATACTGTTATTGTAAATTTCTCTAAAATTTTGAATATATTTGGGGTATATCTGTGCTACTAGTTATTAAAGATAGATAAGAGCGTGGCCTCCGGATAATCTTCCCATATCATTTCCATTCTCTGTTTGTTCTTTTCAATGCAAAAAAGGAAGTAGTGTCGCACCTCGTAAAAGCGTGAAAGCAACGCAGTGCTAACGATTTTTCAGGTCCCAAATGATTTGCAATGTTATGAGCTGCAATAATAATAATAATATAACGTTTATTAAACAAAATAGTTACAAATAGCTAGATATATGAACAAATTAGAGAATAAACGTGAAAAAATTTATCACTGAAGCACACTTGTGCTTGTGAAAATGACACTGATGAATAATAGTTCCGTGAATTCACTTTTCTTCAAAAAAAAAAAAAAAAAAACAGATTTTACTCCAATAAAACTGAAGCACAATACATACAGCTAGCTATACAAAATAAATATACGAAACGATTTGTTGTTCGGACATTTACAACAATAGCTCGAGATTTACGCTTCCAGAAAGACGAGCCACGAGCGCTAAATAATTCAACCGGGGACCAGACGAAATCCTATACATTTTCTACTATTCCCGGCTACTGAAAAATTCAACAATATTCTAACTTACGCGAACATAAAGAAAATCACGTTTTTAGCGTGTTTCCCAGGCAGAGGCCTACCTCGTTCTTTTAGAAATTTTATGACTCAGGAATGTTGTGAGAAAATAATTTATTTATCAAATGGAATAATAATAATGTGGAATTCATTTAAACAGTTCAAAACTTTCTTACTCATAAAGCTTTTGAGGATATTTTCAAAATAAGTTCAGACGGCAACAAAGCATTTACATTTTATTTGTATCTCCCTCGAAATAAAAAGCCGATTGAATTAGTTTTAATTCGAAAAACAAATTCGGAACAAACTAATTTACAGCTTTAAGGCTTAAAGCCCTGCTAAAAGGGGAGGTTTTTAAGTGAATTGACGTTGTCCAATTTAACCCTTTCTGGTTGATGAAGTTTTTTTTTTACACAGGCGCAAAAGCCTCATCAGTTTTTGTTTTGCAATTAGTTTATTGTCAAAAAATTTATATTTAATCGAATTAGTTCCTACATCAAAATATCCCCTGTGATCGCTCAATGTGGCACAGGGAATTGATTTCTTGTCGAAAAAGGGGGGCCTTGCGGATGGACATGTTTACCCGGGCCGTTCACGGTCGTCGATAATGCCCGATTAAACCGATTTTGTCGGAAAGTGTTCCACTTTGATCGGCACCTTCGTCGGGTCTAAATATGTCCTTCCCCCCATTTGCGAGCTAACTTCAAATTAGTGGCAAAGGCAGACAAAGTAGAAATATGTTGAGGTAGTAAAATGGTCTACCAAAGTGGGAAAGGTGATAACATTGTAAGAATTAATTAGTTGAGTAATTGGTCTTGGTTCTTGATTCGAATTGAAAGCCGGGAATAATCCACAATTGAACATTGAAGAAGATCAGCTAGTCGAATCAATTATGATGCCATTTTATAGCTGAAGTTCATATGTTCGACTGCTTTTTCTTGTGTATGTAGTTGTTTTATCGATCAAGCCATATAGGCACAAACGAATGTAATTTTAACTATTTATATAGAGGTAGGCTGTTATCTATCTTTGAAGTATAAGAGGCACAGGATAAATAGGCATGCAAACATGTTCAAAAAATTTTACGAAGCTACTCATCCTTTGACTGACTTGGAGAATGAAGTGAAAATGAAAACTTGGTAGTTCATTTTTTGTGCATCATTTTACTGGATATGATACACATTTTGTATTTTTGAATACTTTTAGTTGCAAGTGACTGAAGCATTATTTTTTTTTGTCACCTTCATATAGAAATCAAAATCCGAAATTTGCTGCTAAATTTCTCTCTCAAATGAGGTTTGTTGCTGGTAATCCTCCTAAAACCTAAAATTATTGAGACCATTTTATCAATCATGCCTATAAAATCAGATTCAAAATCAGAAGTTTTAGATATTAGACATTGAAATTTTAATATGATTTCCTTATCTGACGAACCCGCTTACATAATAAAACCCACTTAAAGAGAGGCGAAATTCAAAAAAAAAAAAATCCATTAGCGTAATAAATTTCGTTTTTATGGCAAATGGCTGGCAAACCTACCTTATATATTTGACTCATCGTTTCCACCCTGACATGTGTGTAGAGCCGAGAGCTGAATTTTAAACAGCCCCAGGACGCTCTATCACGTACACACGTCACGGAAAAAATTGAACATCGGTATTAAAGTATAGTATTAGAGCAGAAAAGAAGGAGACAACGTCATTGTGGATAAGAATTACCTAATGCAAAATAAATATTTATATAAGTTGATTCATCTACTTAAAATTGAGCAAAGTAATCTCATATAACGTTACACGCTCGGCATCCATTGCAGCATAATAAAGCTGTATTGCCTTTAATAAAATGCACGTCCGGCGAGATATAACGTTAGGGAAATCGCATTAGAATTTCGTTTTATTGTCGTTCCAAAGGAGATTTAAAATTTAAATGAAAAATGTGCTCTTCATTCATTTTAGAATTTTACTGCAGTATAGACCTATTGAATTTCTGTTATAAAGCTTTTAGGAAAACGTTCATTTGCATTATATTACGAGTTTAATGTATATTTCCTGCAAAGGTAACATTATCCAAGTAATACTTTATGAATTGACAGATTGCACTTTCATCCTCTTTTGATCATCAATCATGAATTTATGTCAAGAGAAATATAGATAGGAAGACAAATTAGATTCAAAAATCTTTCACCACTTTATAATGAAACACTTTTGAAATTATCTATTTCTTCTTTTTTACTAGCAATTGTTGTCTTTGGAAATACATTTCAGCTACTGAATTTAGTTTTGTTATCTATTGTTTATTGTTTTTATTTATTTTATATTGTAAAGATGTTGTGAAAAGGGTCATTTCAGGCGCAGTTATCTCTTGTACAGTCTCCAGATGTACTTCTTCAGGTAGGTGTGTTTTCTCCAAGTGTATCTGGAATGATTGGGGTAGTTTTGGTAGGGCCATTTGTGTGAGCTGATAAAGTAAATGGTTCTGTTACGTGCGCGGTCATTTTGCATTTCTCGAACCAATCCTCTTATTTGAATTCGTTTATCGAGTGATAAACGACATTGTTGTTTTCCAAGAATTGTTTTTTTTGTTTAAGTTTTTACTTAGGATATGATGCAACATCCGGCGGAAACATCGGTGTTGCAGTTTATCAGTTATGACGCAATTAAATCACATGAGTATAGTGATTTCCGGTTAACCGCGTCCTAATTTTATAATTTTTTATTGATTTTCTTTTTTCGGAATGTTGCAAGAGTCTATTAATTGGGGACATCGAACTCTGACATCCGGTCGCTTATCGCTTGTGTTGGTAAAATTGTTATGTAATTTGAGTTGAGTTTAGAAATTTCGTCATTTTTTTATTTATACTATTTTTATACGGAATTAGATGCTGGATTGCTAAGAGATTTAATAAGTTGAGATTAAATTATCTTGCAACTGACGTAGGTACTTTTCTAATTAAAATGACTACAAAAATGCTTTTACCAATTGAGTTTAGTTATATTTTCTGGGATTTTGACACCTCGAAATTTTGGGGTCGTCACAGTTTCGTCTAGGATTAGTACATATGTAATTTTTCTCCTTGTGCAGAGTACATTTATCATACCAAATTTTATTAGAGTAAAATTCGGTAGGAGTAAGTACCATTGTATTTGTATTTGGGATGGGTATTTTTGATATTAGCCGAAGGACTAAATTATGCATATATGTAATTATTGTAGAATGTTCTAGCAAATCATAGGGATGGTTTCTAGAGTTTAGTAGCTGGTTTTCATGATAAGTCTGTAACAATTTAGATTCTAAAAGGGATGTTTCTTATGTGTCGAAAAACTCAATATTGAAAAGAGAGGCTAATAATGGGAGTATTTCACGTAAAAACTCTGCTAAAAGTGCTAAGTGATCGATGTACCATCGTCACCAAAAGTATCTGGGACAAAAATAATTCATATTAAATTCCTGGACTAATTCAACCGTCATTCATTTAAATGCATTTAATTCACAGTTTGACAAATATTTGACACTAAAATTCATATAATAGTACAAGAGCTAATATGATTCTGTCCCAGTTACTTTTGATGACGATGGTACATAGTGTAAATTAAGTCATCAATTTTTTGAATAACTGCATCAAGGGCTGACTTTGCGAGCTTTAAGTTGGCATTGATTTGGGTCGTATATGAGGAGAGTCGATAATTTATATCATTAGCGACATATACGAATTTATTTTGAATTGTGAATGACTTCTAATGACTTCTATAGATCGTTATTATCTGGGTTACCCGTGATAAATTGGACAACTGAACCTAATCCGTTAATTAATCCACGGATACGTCGGATATTTTGCTGTCGTGGTTAGCATAGCGTATTGACTTCTCACTTCTTTCAAGTGTCGGTCGTATAAGGGTCGTAA